AAGAATTGTTAGACGCAAACGTTATACGTCCTAGTTGCTCTCCATTTGCAAGCCCAATGCTGATGGTAAGAAAGAAAAATGGAACCGATCGACTATGTGTCGATTATCGGGAACTGAATGCTAATACGGTCGCTGACAAATATCCGCTGCCTTTGATTTCTGATCAAATTAATAGACTGAGTGAAGGCAAATATTTCTCCAGTTTAGACATGGCAAGTGGTTTTTACCAAGTTCCAATACACCCAGACTCTATCGAGCGCACTGCTTTTGTCACGCCAGAAGGACAGTATGAATTTTTGGCCATGCCTTTTGGATTAAAAAATGCTTCCTCGATTTTCCAGCGCGCAATCGTGAGAGCATTGGGTGATTTGGCTCAAACGTATGCCATCGTCTATATAGATGACGTGTCAATTCTAGCGAAGACAAAGGAAGAGGCACTTGAAAGGCTACAAACGGTCTTGGAAAACTTGTCTAGAGCTGGATTCTCATTTAACATTACAAAATGCTCGTTCTTGAAAACAAGCATAGAATATTTAGGATACTTGGTTGAAGCGGGTCAAATTCGACCAAATCCACGCAAGATACAAGCGTTGGCCGAATTGCCGTCACCGCAGTCAGTAACGCAGGTGCGACAATTCATAGGCCTAGCCTCGTATTTTAGGCAATTCGTACCAAAATTTTCTGAGCAGATGAAAGCTTTATATAATCTCACCTCCAAAAATAATAAATTTGTCTGGAAGCCGGAATATGAGGAAATTCGTCAAAAAATCGTATCAATTTTGACTAATGACTCCGTTTTGACAATTTTCGATCCACTAAAGCCAATGGAATTACATACAGACGCAAGTTCTATTTGATATGGTGCTATTTTAATGCACAAGATAGAAAATAGACCCAGAGTCATTGAATATTACAGCAAATGTACGACAATGGCTGAAGCAAAATATCATTCATACGAGCTTGAGACCCTCGCAGTTTACAACGCAGTAAGACACTTCCGCCATTATTTACATGGTCAAAAATTTATTGTGCATACAGATTGCAACTCCCTGAAAGCAAGTATCAAAAAAATTAACCTTACCCCAAGGGTACATAGATGGTGGGCATATCTGCAATCATTTGATTTCAGCATTGAATACAGGAAGGGAGAACGCATGTTACATGCTGATTTTTTCTCGCGCAATCCGTTGCCTACTGATTATAAATCCTCAGCGAAAACGGTTGAAATGCACATAAACCTAGCTGAGATAACCGACGATTGGCTTCTAGCCGAACAGCAACGAGATTCTGACATTGCTTCCATAACCTTAAAATTGCGAAACCATAAGATGGGATAAGCTATCTCAGCGTCGTACGAATTGAGAGCAGGAGTATTATATCGAAGGATTCAAAGAAATGGCAGCACAAAATGTTTGCCTGTAATACCTAGAGCCTTTAGATGGTCAGTCATTAACAATGTTCACGAAGCCATAATGCATTTAGGGTGGAAGAAAACTCTAGACAAAATGTATGCCAACTACTGGTTCGAGAAGATGTCTAAGTATGTGAAAAAGTTTGTAGAAAATTGCATTACCTGTAGAGTGTCAAAACCACCATCTGGTAAGCCACAAATAGAAATGCACCCGATTCCTAAAGATGACATACCCTGGCACACTGTGCATATTGATATAACCGGAAAATTAAGTGGCAAAAACGACTTAAAAGAGTACATCATAGTTCAAGTTGATGCATTCACAAAATTTGTTCACCTTCAACATACGCTGAACCTTAATACGGAAAACTGCATTAAGGCAGTCAAAGAAACTGTTGCACTATTCGGAGTGCCGGCACGCATCATAGCTGATCAGGGTAGATGTTTTGCTAGCACAAGGTTTAGGGAATTTTGTTCTTCGCAGAAGATAGGTTTACACCTGATTGCGACGGGCGCCAGTCGAGCAAACGGCCAAGTAGAGCGTGTCATGAGCACCTTGAAGAGCATGCTCACAGCGGTTGAGAGTAGTCAGCGATCCTGGCAAGACGCTTTAAAAGACATACAGCTGGCAATAAATTGCACGACAAATCGTGTAACGAAATATAGTCCGTTAGAATTGCTAATCGGTAAAGAGGCAAGGCCGTTAGGAATGATAACAATATCAGATGAAAAAACAATTGATAAAGATTTAATAAGAGCACAAGCGAAAGATAACATGGTGAATAACGCTAAATATGATAAGGCTAGGTTTGATAAAAATAAAGCAAAAATTATAAAATATAAGCTTGGTGATCATGTCCTACTCAAGAGGGAAGAACGAAATCAAACGAAGTTAGATCCCAAGTTTAAGGGACCTTTTGAGATAATCGAAATACTTGATGGAGACAGATATTTATTAAAGTCATTGACGAGTAAGCGCACGTTTAAGTATGCACATGAGTATTTGCGAGCTTTTCCAAGCAACAATGTATCGGAGGAGTTGATAGATTTGAGAGATGATGAGTGTGACAATGTTGAGGACATTGCTCAAGACACTGTGGCACTAAGAGAGAGTGCGGTTGGGCTCATACACGATGGCTAAGACCGCACCATAATACTCACGCCGTGCACAAGTGCTCGATCATGGCGTGCTGAAGCGGGTGATATTATGGCGGGGGTCAGAGGTTGAAAGACCTGTATGGATCCGCTCCATGTTATCGTTGCTGGGCAGCAAGAGCCTATAGACGTGTGATGACAGAACAACAACAAAAAAAAAAAAAAAAAAAAAATAAAAAATAAAAAAATAAAACCTACAATGACCGATGATACTGCTGTTTGTAAAGCTATTCTTAAAGTAAAGTAATGACTAATAAATTTTACCCAACAATTTTGACTATGGCATGATCTAAGCGAAATGTACACACGAGGACGTGTGAAATGTCAGGAAGGCCGTGTCGTGTATCCAATAAATTATTGTGAGTATTATTTTGAATGCTAACGATTAAGTGTTAGTAAAAATCAGAGAATTTGACAGAAGGTACTGCTATTTAACATAACTGTCCTACTTGTATTAGGGTTGCTACTGAAAGCATGGTGTGAGACAAAAAAGATAGTCTCTGCCGAGCATGGCCCGAGTGTGTTGTATAACGTCCAGTTTGCTATAGTGTTGAATGTTCACTAACAGTACTAAAAGTCAGAGAAGAATATAGAATGACAAGAGCATGAGTAGTATGCTCGAGGACGATGAAAATTATTCATTCTAAAAGTGGAAGTCATAGAGAACAGACGTGCTCGCTCCTAAAAATATAATTATTTTGTGACTATAACGACACTCGGGACTTGCTGTGCTGCCAGTATGCCTAATTGCAAAGAAAGTGATTTCTCTGTTCCGACATATATATAGATGTTCTTAAGCCTGATTAATTAAGCTAAGCTAAGTCGATATGAGCATTTTTGGCCAGCCTTCGGGCAATCTTGATTAATGAGGTTCACATTTACTTATAGATATCTTAAATAAAGGCAACCTTTTATGTACAAGTTTAGAGTGTTCTCCATCAGGAAGGAAATTCAAAATTTAACGTTCCCCACCGCATCAGGCTGGAAAGCCATGGCAACCAATTAGCGATGAACTTGCTCGACAACAGCACGCAAAGCACGCCGACTCAGGAGGAGGCAACCACTGGAACTACCCCGCCCCATCGCAGGCCTGCCGCGGAGCTGTGCGGGTTAACCAGGCTGTTTACAAACAACTGTTCTGTTTCTCAAAAGGGAACTCAAATTTACTCATTTACTCATTATCATGGTAAATAACAGAGAACTGGGATAGTTATAGTTATCTTAGCCAAAATTGGCTTTGTTACTAACTCAAACGTAACGACAAGAAATCACAGTGAAATATCGAATTAGTTCCGCAAGGGTATTGAATATTCAGCGCTTCGCAGATAAATGTTCTTTTTGATTTTGCTTTCTTTCTTTACATTTTTTATGCTTTTTCCTGCATGACCATTAAAGCCAACTGGTGTTGCAATCATAAACGAATGAAAACTATTTAATTAAAAGCCAGTTGGCTGTAGGACTCACAAAGTGCATTGCATAAAGGACATTTGCATCGCTTTTGGGGACAGTAGAGACAAGGTATAAGGGACACTGGTCGTTAAATTTAACAGCTTTGGTAATTACAAAATAGTTTGCTTACGGAGGCTCAATATATGCTCCGAGCTTAGGTAAGTAGCGGGCGTATTCGTAATAACACACACCTAAAAAGCACACAGACGCATATACACCCACACACCTACACACACCTACACACATAGTAACACCTACGGATTGCCTTACAGATTTTATTGAGACATTATCAGGCAAAACAAATGGGGCACAATTTGCAGCTATGGTGCCGACTTTTATGGCCGGCAACATCCACAGAAAGGCGTTACGGAATGGCAAAAGGGGGCGTGGAGCATGGACATAGTTTTGCCCGAAGCTTTTCCATATATAATACATTGCGATGGCAATGTATGTATGAGCGATAACCGTGCGTATACGCAACGTATTCTCGACATTTCGTTGTTTCGGGCCATTCGGTGTGTTTTTGTGCCATTTTTATGGCTCATAACCGACAACATCGGTATGCGAATGACAGATATTTGTTTTGTTGTCTCGATCCGAGCCCACGGCTATGTCAATGACTAGATAAAACTGCAGGCTATTAATACGCCTCGCCTGCCCAATTAATTGAGCTGTAGAATGCAAATTAAATAAAAATCAAAATACCTAATAACTTTTCCCCAATAAACCATATCAGTATTTGCCCTGGTTACTCGGCGACTCATTGGATGGCCTGTTGACACGGACGTAGATGTGTGCCACAGGCAAACAATGTATACCGCTGCTATATTGGTGCTAAAAGGCGGAGGATAAGCGAAGTGTAAGATTGGCAGCATATTTTGCACAAGCAGAAAGCAAGCACAGCCTGAGTGATGGCCCAAGTGGATGCTAGGACAAGGACCCAGAGCCCGCCCAGGCGACAGTTTGTGTTTATTCAAAATAAATTTGAAGCACTTAATAATTTGAAGCACTTAATAAAATATTAGCAGCAAGCTCAAGGAAGGCAACGTCGACAGCCAAGTGACGTTACGTACGGAGAAATGCTTTGAACGTGCTGCAAAAGAGCTGAAAAGTCAAAATTTCAAGTACCTTGACGCTGTGTGGGCGAAGAATGTTGATATTTGACACATTGACAGGCATTTCAGAGGGATGCAAACTTGTTGTTGTATACGGATTGCCCTTTAGAATGAAGCAATTTGTTTAAGATATTACTTAAGCTGCGGCTATTGACACTTTTAGCCTTCATTAAATTGAGCACTGTGTTTGATTACACAAGACGATTTAAATTTAGCGCTTTATTTAGCAGCGGAGTTTCGATAAACGATAGTTATCGATTCATATGACTGTTAGTTAACATAAACACTGAGAGAAAGCAGTAAAAGCTAAATGTACATCATGTTTCTATGATCTTAAATTCATTATGGACAAAACGTATGCATACATATATCAAATGTATATACATACGAAATGGAAATAATGTGCCTCCGTTTTAATAAAAATAATTAAAACTAAACACTTACATACGTGTTGTGATTACTAATATACAGATGCCTGTTGCTCATTCCAATTTTTCTTTACATTCATTCGTGTCATTATTTTGATTATTGCTCTCGGCGATTTCGCCATTTAATCTTTTTAGCTTTCTCGCCTCAGATACGGCCTTATAGACACGATTTTTGGCTTTCTGAAAAGCCATGCGAGCATCCTTTCTGTAATCATCAAACGTATAGCCTTCTGTTCTCTGAGACTCTGTAGAAAAGCGCATGTATTTGCATATAAAACAATACTTAAAAATGGAGCACAATACTTATTACTTACCATATAACGCTGTGTTCAGGTTAATATAACTGCTTAAACCAGCTTTCGAACTGTGCCCTCCATAGTTCATCTCCATCAACAGCTTCTGATCAATGATGCGACCAATATTTTTAACGATTCCACTTGGACTTAGCAGATTTTTAAATAGCTCTGTCTGAAAGTTAAATAAAATAAAAGGAACATAAAAATTGATTAGCATAAAAAGTAAAAAGCCGCACACATATTACTTACATATTTCTCCATATCATTCGCTATTTTCAGATCAATTGCTTCCAATGCTTCCTTATGCTTTACGGGAAAATCGTTTGGCTTTGTCACCGACTTCATGTTTTCACATATTTTATCAACTCGTGCTAATATTTTCGTATTTATATTAAGCAGGAAATCCACTTTGCGCTCGAGGCTGCTCAAACGGTCGTTGAAATTGTGATGTTCATTTGGACCCATGTCCATGGGATACAAACGCTGCATTTTTTGCTGTTCATCAACCAAATCTTGACTGTCAACCATTCCGAATATATCGTCGTCTTGCGTTGGCAACATATCAGGACATATTACTTCATCCTTCACGGAAATGTTCATGTCAATGCCGAGTGGATCATCAAAGCCAATAAATTCCTTCTTTGCCTTTTCCGCCGAACGGCGGGCATTGCGGCCGCGGCCACTCATACTTCGACTTTTAAAATATACGTTGCCTTCCTTCTGACAGGAAATATCTGATCTAAATGTTAATGAAGCATGTTTATAACAAATTCTGCCAATTCATGCTCAAGATATAAGCACTTACAATGTAATGCGATGTGAGGCCCAAGAGTCAGTTTGTTTGACCCGTAGTTGTTTCCTAAGTGAATGATGTCCTTTTTGACGTTTCTTTAGTTTTATTTTTTGCATTTCGTATTAGCAAATTATTGTTAAAAATTGTCTATAAACAAGAGACTTACTGACGACAGATGCCTCAGGCTGCCCCAACATGATGCATTATTTGGCATTGTACATTGCTTCTTCTGTTAGAGAATGTATTTAAAGCCATGAACAAGTTGTATGGATCTATTTGTACGCAATATTATTGTTTTTAAAATGATTTATAAAATTAATTAAAATTGTTTGCGCGTATTTTGTATTGCCGAGTTTTACAGCTGTTGCCAGTCGTCCGATAGATTGCGGCGGCTGGTCGATATTTATTAATCGGATTTTCTGTATGATGGTCTGGCCACACTTGTGACAATGATGTCTGCACGTTTATATTCTACCTGTCGTTTATTTTCAACAAATTTTCCAATAAATGCTGTAAATAAGAATGCCGTGGGTGGAAAAACCCTTGTTGACAGTGTGGCAGTGACCAGAAATGGCAAAACAATCGTTGCCTGGCATCCAGACACTCCGTTCCCCTACGAGCATACAAAACCTCTGCCAACGATTGTCGAGAACCAAACGTCGGAAGTAATTAAGGAGGCTGCGCTGCAAACGGCAATGAGTGCATTTAAAAGCAAACACCCAGAGGTGGCACGTCAGGAGCTAATGAGGTTGACACATACTACAAAGCATCGTTGGTTCCCGCGGGCACGTGACAAGAAGGCCAAAAAGACGCCAATGGACCGGCCTTACTTATAATTACAAGATTACATAAGCGCGCTTTATAGGCAATACAATTATGTTTATAAATTAAACGTACTTTGCTCTTTTTAATAAAAATAGGCAAAAAAAAAACACACTGCGGCTCGTATTTATGTTGGCATATGTTACCTATTGTAACAATGAATATCTAATTAAAAACATGAATAAATAAAACCAAAACAAGAACAGCTGTTCGCAAGCATTTTCTAATTGCTTCATTAACAGTACCAATTTGAGTTTAACGGCCACGGGACGATACCATAAAAACCAATTGGGTATTGGAAATGTAGCATAAGGAGCGAACACATATTCAAATTTCAGTAATTCTCTCACCGTTACCGCAATCTAAAAAATGTTCTATTGGAATCTTAAAGTAAATTGGTCCTTATAATAAAATATCTGGGTCAATAAGAAAAATCATAGGTATTTTCTTATATAAGTGTCCTAAAAAGTCCCATGTCTCAACGAAATAGACATAAACAAAATAGAACTGTTAGGTTCAGGGTTCGAACCAGAACATGGCTAGTTATAAGGTTCGGTCTCTTGTTTGATAAGCTCATTAGTATTGCTCATTATAAATAAACCAGCTATGTTAAAGTTGTTGCAGAATCCTCGATGTAGAACACAAAAATATTATCTGAGCACTTTTAAAAACTAACATGTGGCTTACAATCAAATGCCACTGTATTTCTACAATTCTGTTATTTTAACATTCTGCTAAAGTTTTGTCAAACTTCTCTCACATCTCTTGTCTCGTCTCTTCGCTTATTTTCATTATAGCTGTAACTTTCAAAGCAAGTGGACGTGTGACGGAAATTTAAATAAAAAAAGTGGAAGTGGAGAGCAAAGAAAGTTGTGTGAATAGAAAAATCACAAAAGTGCAGTGCATTGCTGGTGCTGTATGAGTCTGTGTGTGTGTATATGAAGTCTATTAAGGAAGAGAGAGCGAGTAAGGGGATTGCTGCGATTTAAATTGACTGAATTTGACATTTTTGACGAAGCGAGAAGCAAAGAAAAATACATAAATAGAGAGTGCAGCATAGCGAAAATATGTCCACCGTAGAATCTTCAAGTTCGGCGGTGCAACAGCCACCCTCGTCCACATTGCCAATGTTAGGCGACAACCAGGTGTCCACCATGCAAATTCAAATTCAAGCGTCAACATCTTCGGCGGGAGGTAGTAGTAGCATGTCGTTGGGCGTACCGTTAGATACGCAGAGTAGCGGTGAGCCTCCAGCTAAGAAGCAAATGCTTGATCCGAGTGCAGCTTCCTCCTCGTCGGGAATGTCCGGCGGCGGGGGCGGTGGTCCAGCTGGAACTGGATCCGGAACGCACGAGAAGCTTGCCTATCGCATCTCGACTGCGCTTTGCTGTGCCGTGTGCTTGGATTTGCCAAAAACGGCCATGTATCAGGTGAGACAATTGATGCAACTAGGCAAATGAGTTTTGATAATTTAAAAAAAAAAAAATACGAAAAATGTAATATATATGTGCACAAAGAGGCAAATGTATTAGCAAGCATTTGTGAGTGTATGTACATACCTGCTCTTTGTGCGTGTGTGTGTATTTGTGACATTTCTCTGTATACAAAACAAATCGAGCAAAAGCAATCGCAAACTCAGCTGTAAGTAGCCACTCCCTCGCCGCGCACCGCAACCGCCCTGTTAAGCGCAGCGCACACAGCTGGAGTCGCTAGTAACAGCGAGAGCGTGCGCCCCAAAAACAGTAAAAAGGAACGAGAAAAAACGGTGCATATTTTTTGTTTGCCTATGGTAACTTGCAAATGCCCATTGCGTTTGCCTTGAAAATGACAATGCCAGGCACTTGCGGCATTTGTTCCCCTACCTCCCTACAGCTCACCCATTGATCGTTTTTGTAAGTATGTATATACAGCGCACTCGCTCGCACGCATTGCTGTTACATAGCATGCAGTTCTCGCCAGGCTGCTGCAGTTTTATTGCGTTTTAGACGAGCGACCAAAGCAACCCTGCTCAATTTCAATGCTCACCCCACTGACCCCCACCTTACTACTATTTGCGCAGTTACATTTGCTGTAACACTCTTTTACAGTTGCATGCATACTTGGCCTTTTTCCGCTGTTGCGTCATAAGTTTTATGCATATGAATGTATGTATGTATGTCGGAAATTCTTAATATGCAAATTGTACATATGTTAATTACATACATACATATGTACATCTGTATATTTGCATAAATAAATGTATACACATTTATTTGTATGTTAGGAATATATCGCAAAGATGCGTTATTTACATATTGTGAAATAGAAGCCGTTATGTATTCTTTTTGTTCGTGGCCTATTTTTAGCTGCGTTGCCCGTGCGACCTCCGCGGCGGCGCCATTGCCGTCGTTGTTTCTACCAGCCCCGCCCACAATCAAAAAATAAAAATGCTAACAACGCAACGTCAGTATTGGTTTGCTTTGTTCACACATACATACATGCATAAGCATTCAAAAAGCTAATTGTCTGTCTGCCCGTCTGCCATTTCCTCTTTCATACAATTCGCCTTTAAGCCACATACATACATACATACATAAAAGCACATAAACATTTTTTCTATCATTCATTGATGCGGGCGTCCGTCATTTTGGTTTCTTAATTCTTCAGCTTTATTTGACAATTTAATAAATAATTGTGCCAATTTATAAACAATCAACGCTTACGTAATAACGTTGTATATGTGTGTGCATATAGACGCTTTCAACAAATTTGTACATACATATGCATATGTTCATATAAATACGTAAATACGTACGTATCTTTATTCTTGTTGATTTCTGGGTTTGCTTTTCTAAACCTTTCGCCTTTTTCAATAGTGCTGCGTTGTCTATGGTTTATTTTGTTTCTCTCTCTTTCGCTGTTGGGCCCCTGTCTCAGAAAACACACATACACACACGAAAACAGTCATAAATATAACTGCGTCATTGCTTTGACCCAGCAAGAAAACATACATACATATTTACGTATGAGTGCGTTGGGATGTTTGCATTATCTTAAAATATAATATCAATACCAATGATTAGTTATTTATAAACTTATTAAATAGTTCGTTTTTGCGTATTCATATTGTTAAACAGTAATTCATGCATAAATACTCACACGCACACACACACACCAGCTCTTTTTCACTCTCGTTTAATCATATTCACGCTCTCTGTTATTGTTTTGCTTTTGCTGGCATTTGTTGTTCTCCTCTGTGCCTTTTCGACATTCGTATTGTCCTGCTCACACTCGCACACGCTGCGCGTATCGTAATATAGTCAGCTGTTCGTGGGCAAAGAAAAATGAAAAAAAAACTACGCATTTTGTAAGTTTTCTGCGTATTTATGTTATATCAATTGGCATGATTATTAGTGTGTGTATGAATGTATGCTGAGGGGAATGCAAGGGGAGCATCACATATAAACATTTTTAGTAAATGCACAGGTTGTTTGCTATTGTTGTTATTTTCAGTGATCCGTAATCTAAGACAAACTTGTTTTACCAGTTTTTGAGCCAATATCTGAAACCTGTAAACACTAACGTATGTGTGCGTTTCCTTTTACCTACGCTACGTTTTCGTTCTTTTTATTGTTGACGCGCTCTCCTCTCCACCACTTGCCACCGTTCTCTTTCTGCTTCTACGCTGTTGACAGAGCCACTTACATACATACATAGACACACATATACAGGCGTATCTACCAAAACATCATCAGCTGGGTTTTGTTATGTCTGCCGCACGAGCATGTCAAAAAGGGGAGCAAAAGTTGAGCAAGCGAACGACGAATACCCGGGTAGGGAAAACAAGAGAGAGAGTTAACCAACAAATGGATATGTCATGACTAAAACTAGTTGAACATCTTTTTGAGGTTTGTTTTAAACAATTGTCACAGCTGCCTCACGCATACTGTAGGTCATAGATACCGATTGCTTTGGATTAATTCTTAATGCTGGAACAATATTTGGAAGTTCATTCAACTTGAGAGAATGGGAAATGGGAAAGGAACGGGAGATGGGGTGCAGCAAAATGTTGTCCCACTCACACACGCACATAAACAGATATAGCCCAAGAAGCCTGACAACAAAATAAAAGACAAATAACAAACGTGCTCTTATCTGTCGAATAGAAAGATATCTTCATACAGTTGAACGTGTATGTATGTATATATATATATATATATGTATTGCATTGGGCATATCGCACATGTCACTCCGTAAATAGAAATTCCAAAACGGCAGGCAGAAGACCGACCGAACGTCAACGGCAGCAGCCTAAAAATGCGTTTTTATCACGCTCTGGTACGATAATTGACAAAATGTCGCGTCTCGTCGCCCGCATTCTTTGCCAATACAAAAATAATCTTACAATGGAAATAACCAGCGGGGCTGCCAGACCTGACCTTTTACGGTCATGTCTTCTGATTCTCTCTTTCCGACTGATCCCCGGAAATTGAATGGAACACTATCCTATCTACTCCTACTACAGTCTTATCAGTTCGTTTCACATACATTTTAAATAACAATTGGCAGATAAAAAAATTTTTAAAAAATTATGCGAAATTTTAATTTTTTTTTTACGGAGCCAACCTACACTCCAGCCTTTGCTTAAACGTAGACTATGCTTAACCGTAGACTCTTAACATCTCTCTCTCTCTCTCTCTCTCTCTCTCTCTCTCTCTCTCTGTCTATCTTAACTATCTCTATCACTCTAACGAATAATCTAGTTAAGTCAACTTATTAATTACATAAAACAATACTTTTACCTTCTTAGCTAACTCTTGTAAGCACACACGAAAAAAAAAAAAAAACACAGCCACAAGTAATGTAATTAATTCTTACAGCTAAGTAATTAAACACCATTAGAGGCAGTTACTGTAAACTGTTGATATATAATTGAAATGTACAAATAGACAAATATGAAAAAAGTGATTTCAATAAATGTTTGCATCGAGTGCAAATTGTTAAATTCAAAACTGAATACAAACCAAGCGTTTTTATTTCAACAAAAATAAAATTGAGCAACCCACAGGAACCAATCACTATCCAGCCAAATGCAGCCGCGCCTTTCCATCCATTTCAGAAAATTTCGATCAAGCACATACCAAAAGCGACCAAATTAAGCCCCATTCCGAATCCCATTTCATGATAACTTTCCTACCAAATTTTACCATTGACACACGCTCCTCATCATACTACTTTCAACTTTGCAAAACAGCGTATTTTGACTAATAGCAAATTTTTCTTCTTTTTTCTTTAATTGCAGGTTAATTTTTATTCCACATTTTTATTTAGTTTCTACTACATACTATATACTTATAAATCTCTTAGCATTATTCTCTTGACATGCGCCCGCACTAAAACCTCTCTTGTTTTCACTCTGTTCTCTTTAATTCTAGTGCCAAATGGGTCACCTGATGTGCGCCGCCTGCTTCACCCACCTTCTGGCGGACGGACGGTATGAAACACAAAAGCGCAAATTAAACGACTTGAAAAATTATTTACTGTGATTTGACGAAACACGCCCGTTAAGTGGTTGAACAATCCAATAATACAAATCTTTCTTTCTTTGCATTTCTCGTGCATCATGTCGTTTATGCAGCCTGCGTGATCAGATTGCCACGTGCCCCAATTGCCGTGTGGAAATATCAAAGAGCACCGCCTCCCGTAATTTGGCCGTAGAGAAGGCAGCTTCTGAGCTACCCAGCGAATGTCAGGTGAACTGTTTTAATAAAGCAAATTCCTTGCACAATATAAGCTAACTTCTTATATTGTATCTCGCAGTTTTGCAACAAGGAGTTCCCATACAAATCGCTGGAACGCCACGAGCAGCACGAGTGCCAGGAGAGACCCACAAAATGCAAATATCATCGCATCGGCTGCCAGTGGCGTGGACCCTATCATGAGAGTGAGTGTCTATACCGAATGTTAATATTATCATATCAATAATTTGTAACCATTTACAGCAACTGAACATGAACGCAACTGTTTGCATCCGCAGAAATCTGGCTATGAGGTAATGGCTGCCTTGGAGGCGCATGATGTCAAGATCAAGGAGGAGAAGAAGATGTTTAGTACATTGATTGATCTACTAAGCTACGAGAAAATCATATTCAATGGCAAGTGGACCAGTCAAAAATATTACCACTTTGTACTTATCATAGATCATTACAGATCTGCAAATGAAACCATATCGCACGGATGAATATGTTCATAAGCTGTTTTATGAGACCGCTCGCTTTTCGGCTTTTAACCAACAGTGGGTGGTCAAGGCGCGCATCAACAACAGCCAGCGCGATCCGCATCAATCGAATGATCGCACCATTACCTATCAGCTCATACTGAAAACGAAAACCAGCACACCCATGAGCATACACTTCTTTGCACTGAAGGGCCCCTTCTCGGACATGAAGGTCTCCACACAGATCTACAAGCACGAGTTCACAGAGACGGTAATACAACAGCCCGCCCAATTATTGTGAAAGCCTGTCCATAATTAATATTACATTCATTTCAGAGCACTGAGAGCGATTACTATGTGCTGCCCTTGCCGGATGGCAACGGTTCCGGTTCTAGCGAATGCAACCGCATGCTGGCAAACAAGGGCATTAATTTCCGGTTCGTAATGCAACTCCCAAATTCAATCTATATCTCATTCATATATTCTTTTCACAGTTTGCTAATGTTTCTGCTGAATAAGTAAAGGGCTCGTTATATGCAGTAGTACAGATTTTGGAAATAGTTTAAGTATGTTGTTTCTAACTCATAAATGTGCAAAATATAGATATAGCTAATACATAAATATATATTTTCTATCTTAAAATGTACATGTACTTTCAACAAGAAAAACCACCACCCTACCCCTTATACTAACAATCACGATTAACGAAAGCACTGTAACGCGGTAGGTTGTAATTGTAACCTAATATTAGTCGAGTTTTAAGCTTTATATTGCTGGCAACAAAATAATGTAAAATTGTCCCACACCTGCTGTGTAAGACAAACATTGAAAGATGCGATATATTTAGTTATAAGACAGACATAAATTAATGTAGATGAGACACCCCCTGATTATGTTTAGCCCCGTTTTATGCCGTAAATACAGAGCCATATGCATACATTTACTAACATATGTATGTACATTACATAGCTCAATGTACAAATCAAAACAACAGCTAATTTAATCATAAATACATCTACCATAAACGCGGTATATATGTATCGTGTATATCGGGAATGCCATTGAGGAAACTAATTCATCAATAATTTCAACAAAAACTATGTTAATCTTTGCTGTTAGTGCAAGTGGAGAATTTATGTAGTGTGACGACTTTAAAAATGATAAAATATTTTATTGATCTCACTCGAATAAACAAATACAAACAAGCTGATTTTTCTAATTGTTCGGTTAAAATATATGCTTATACGATTATTTCAACCGGACACCCTGAGATCAAGGCGTAAAGATAATGCTAACATATACATATATCTATAGGAAACTGATGACACGGATTTCAATTCTGTGCAAATACACTGTAAGAAAAACAACACCAAGCTGATCCAAAACTAACAGAGTTTATAACGCTCAATGTTTATATTATTAATATCAATATTGTAAATTCTAAAGTTGAAAAGAAAACGAAAAACAGTTCTCCATTTGCTTTACTTAATAGAAACTCCTTTAAAAAAAGTTTATATTAAAGAAAACTCTCTTAACCGCTTTCTGTTAACTTCTCCCTCCTATTTTATATTGATTACAATTTACATTCTTATATGTAATTTATGCGCATCGTTAAATGATAAAGCTATGTATAAATACGAAATGCAAATACATAGATATTAATGATACTTCATAATAAATACAATAAAAGTGTAAAGGCAATATTTTCCAAGTGTTTCATTTCTCTAGCTTCTACTCCGCATCCTCCTCTTCCATGGCCTGATACTTGTTGCGTAGGTGATTCGCAATCACTTCACGCGGATTCCGTCTAAATTTCTTGTCCTTGATCAGTTTCTCGAAGGACTGTACTTTGCTGATATTTTCGTTGCGTTTCTTTTGTATCTTTTTCTTTGCACTTAACGGTTCTGCCTCTGTCAGTGCGCTCTTCTCGGTCGTTTCCTTTTTCTGGCTCTTCACCAGCTTGTAGATGTCGCCCAGGGAGGGCAGGGCATCGCGCAGGGGCTTCAAATCGCCTATAACCTTGGTTTTCTCTCGATTCTTGCGTGCCTGCTCTTCCTTGAACTCCTTCTTTATCTCCACAAAGCGTTTCAGTAATTTGGTGTGCTTCTGTGCCGACTTTTCCTTTTTTGTTGTTGTCTTCTTGGGCGTTAGGGTCTTGTGCAGCAATTTGTCCTGACGCACTGCCTTATTTAGTTTTGCCTGCACTTCCTGTGTCTTCTGTTTGGCAACTCCCACGGCACTTTTGGCCTTTGCACGTATATTTCTTTTTGTCTTTGCCATGGCGTTTTTTGTGATAAATAAAGGTTTAAACGTTGCGCGTTGGAAATTTATTTGGACTCACGTTGCTTTATTATGGCCCAGATAATCGACTGTTGCTTCGTATAACAGCTGACCTATCGATATTTAATTGTTATCGAAAATACAAACGATAGTTGCCGCAATATTGTGGTCGCACTTACAGTTTAATTATTTGTTGAAATAAGTTTAAAGAGCTTAATTACAAAGTAGTGCGTTTAAATATATTATATTTTTTTAAGTAAATGGTTTATTACATTAATATACCAACTGGAAATGTCACTAATAAATCGGTTGACACGAGAAGCTGTCAGGTAAATATCGCACATCTCTAATCAAATTGCAATTTATGTTGTTTGTAAACAGCTGTGAGTGCGGCGAAGGTAAATGCAAAGTATTTCGGCAAAATGGATTACGATTTTAAGATGAAAACGCAAATGGAGCGAACTAAGGTGGAAGATCTGTTTAACTACGAAGGCTGCAAGGTCGGCCGCGGCACCTACGGTCATGTGTACAAGGCCAAGTGGAAGGAGACCAGGTAAGAGATTTATGCTGCTCCCCGCCAGTCGTCTACTTTATTCATTGACTTTTGCAGCGACGGCAAAGAGTACGCGCTCAAGCAGATCGACGGCACCGGCCTCTCCATGTCCGCTTGCCGAGAGATTGCGCTGCTGCGCGAGCTGAAACATCAGAATGTGATAACGCTCATTCGTGTGTTTCTGTCCCACAACGACCGTAAGGTGTTTCTGCTGATTGACTATGCGGAGCATGATCTGTGGCACATCATCAAATTCCATCGTGCTGCCAAGGCCACCAAGAAACAGGTGGTCGTGCCTCGGGGCATGGTTAAGAGTCTTCTGTATCAGATTCTGGATGGTATTCATTACCTGCACAGCAACTGGGTACTTCATCGCGATCTGAAACCGGCCAACATACTTGTCATGGGCGATGGCAACGAGCGGGGGCGTGTCAAAATAGCCGATATGGGATTTGCGCGCCTCTTTAATGCTCCCTTAAAGCCGCTGGCAGACTTGGATCCGGTGGTGGTCACATTTTGGTATCGAGCACCGGAGCTCTTGTTGGGCGCGCGGCATTACACCAAGGCCATTGATATTTGGGCGATCGGTTGCATTTTTGCGGAGCTGCTGACGTCTGAGCCAATCTTTCACTGTCGCCAGGAGGACATTAAGACCAGCAATCCGTACCATCACGATCAACTGGATCGAATATTCAATGTGATGGGTTTTCCGCAGGACAAGGACTGGGAAGACATTAAAAAGATGCCTGAGCACCACACGCTCACCAAGGACTTTAAGCGCTCCACATATTCCGCCTGCTCGCTGGCCAAGTACATGGAGCGGCACAAAATCAAGCCCGACAGCAAAGCATTTCATCTGCTGCAAAAGTTGCTGCTGATGGATCCCAACAAGCGCATAACTTCCGAGCAAGCCATGCAGGATCAGTATTTCCAAGAGGAGCCGCTGCCGACACAGGACGTTTTTGCGGGCTGTCCCATACCGTATCCCAAGCGTGAGTTCCTCACTGATGACGACCAAGAGGACAAGTCCGACAACAAGCGCCAACAGCAGCAGCAGCAGCAACAACAGCAGCAGCAGCAACAACAACAACAGCAGCAGCAGCAACAACAGCAAATGAATCCCAATGAGCCGAACGCTAAACGCGTCCGATTATCCGGTGCTGGCAACCAACAGGATTTCCATCACCAGCAACAACAGCAGCAGCAACAACAACAGCAACAACAAATGATATTCAATCAACAGCAAAGTTTCCAGCAGCGCTTCAACTGAGACTGAAATGTTTTCTCCAATCATTATTGTTTAATGTTTTCCAAGTGGAGAAGCCTTTCAGTGGAAACCTCCTCCAGGAAAACTATGTTGTCGCTTTGAGAGTTCCTTGAAGGCTTTCTCGCTTGGGAGACCTATTTCACAAAGCCCTTTTCCATTTACAATAATTTATAGTTTTAAATGTAACAACTTTAATACACTATATGATGTAAGAAAAGAAAACACACCCAATTTGTATACCCTACTGCAAATGAAAGCGTTAATTGAAAACCTTACTATGAAGAATACCTGTAATATATCCTAGTACCAGCCACTAAAGCGTTCAATGGCTCGGCTCCACTTCTGCATGCGGCTGGCGATTATCTCATATAGCTTTGGTTGTGGTTTGAAAATGCGCTCTACATGGCGAAAGCGCTTGAGATCATCGAGTGTGTGCCAAATGCCATGATTAAGGCCAGCTAGAAAAGTGGCGCCCATTATGCTGGATTCGGAGCACTCGGCGCGTTCCACGCATAGTCCACTGGCATCGGCCAGAAACTGGCACACAAAATCGTTGCGCGAGACACCGCCGTCCACTCTGATGATGAAACAAATGTCAGTGAAAGCAGTTAATGCCTAGAGATCTGGTCTTACTTGATTATTTTTAGTTTCTGACTCGTCTCCTTCTCAGCGCTCTCGATTAGCTGCACCACACGAAAAACTATGCTCTCCAGAAGAGCCCGCACCAGATGCGCTTTGGTTGTGGACGGTGTCATACCAATAAAGCCACTAGCAGCCCGATAGTCATTCACAGGAGGCTATAAAGGAATTTATATTAGTAAAAAGTAGTTGCCGGAGATGATAGGCCATTATACTCACGCCCAGGCCGCTAAATGCGGGCATAAAGTAAACATCATTTGTGTCTGGCACAGATTGAGCAATGTCTGCGGTATCTGCGGGCGTTTCGAACAAGCCACAGGATTGCGCCCACGTCACCACAGTCCCAAAGTCATGAGCGGCACCTTCAATACAGTAAATTGTATCGCGCTGCTTGTTTTTATGTGTGAGCTGCCAAGCGACCAGTGGATACATGCCGCTAATCACAGCTTTACACTCCAAGCCAGTCACTAGATTTAAAAATGCGCCTGTGCCCATGGTGACCTTAACATTGCCCGTGGCAAAGCACTGGGAACCCCACATAGCCGCCGTCTGGTCGCTAATTGAAGCAGCAATTGGTATTTTTGTATCGCCCCAACTCGGGCCAAACGCAGCGGGGTGCACATGTCCAAAGTTCTTGTAGCTATTGTCAACGACGCGTGGCAGAATGCTAGACTGTAGAACTGAGAAATTAGAGAATGAAATTTATTGTCAAAATGTGACCTTTACTCACCTCGATTCCAAACATCCAGCGAGCGAGTGGCGACCAGCTAAGTGTGAATGGATCATAGAGACCAGTGGCAGTGCTTGAGGTTATATCAGTGATATGTTCTACGTCTGGATCCAGGCCATTTCCGGAGCGCAGTTTGTACAGGATCCATGAATCAAGCAGCTCCAGACGCGCCTTCTTTTCGCGCAACGCCTGCTGCAGCCGTTTGTTGTGCGCAATCTCGTAGAGCAGACGCGGCGTCACCTGACCATTCATTAATTTGAGCACGCTCCCGGCCAGAAAGCGAGCATTTCTGGTGAGCATGTACAGAGCATAGAAAAATCCATTCATCGCACGCAGCGAGCAGCTGGAATTCCACTGCTCGACGAGAGCATCGGCGCGCAAGTCCTTCCACGTGATAAAGTTGTGGTAGTACTCATTGGTCTGGTGATTCCAGGTCAAGAACGTACAGCGTTGTGTCGAAATGGTGAGACATGTAATATCCGCGGGTGTAAGTCTAGCGTCTGCCGACGATTAGAGATTAGAATTCGATTCAAGTTTGTCATGTAATAGCACTAAGCACTTACTGCGTATTGATTCTGTAATCACCTTGATTATCTTGCGCCACAAGCCCTCCGGCTCTATCTCAAAGTAGCCCGGCTGCGGATTTAATAGCTCTACCTGCGAACAAAGCACATTTAAATTACCTTCAACTATGCCCGGAAACACTCAATTAACTTACAGCATCAGCTGCTGACCCCTTGACCGTGCAGTTCTCATCAAGCACAAAGCATCTCAAGTACGTCGTCCCAACGTCCAACGCAGCTATATGATATGCCGTTGTTGCCGTCATATTGCTGCTGCCGCTGCTGCTCGGCGCACGCTTCGCTTTTTACTAATATTTATACGCCGATCTCTGGCAAACTGAGTTTGCGTTGCTGCTATTGTTCAGTCGTTTCATATTGCTTTCAATTCGTTATCAACTGCTCGAATTCTCGATAATAAACTAAACCAGTTGGTGCCATGCATCGCAGTAAATAAATGAGAAGGTGCCGCAATTTACCAAACAAGTTACCAATAGACGACGAAAGCATGTGACGTCATGGACTCACTTTGTATTTAAATTAAAATGTGTGACGCGGCATTTTTTTATAATAACATTTATAGCTGCAATTTCCGAATAGGTGTTAAACAAATCTCATTATCATACAAATATACTTTATATTCTCATTTTTAATTTTTATCTTAATTTTTGATTTGAAATGCATTCGATGGAGAGCTGCCACACTTTTGGCGGTATTTACTTTTCGCAGTCCGGCAGCACTATTTTTTGCGCTAAGGTGATAAACGTTCAAAACAGTAATCAATGCTAGTTTATTTGTGTCAATTGCGACCTATAAAACCTTTCCAATTTTTTGAATCGTTATCATTCTCGATGAGATAAAGTGCTAAATGTAGAACGCTCTATCAGCGTGTGGCACACATGTTCGCCTGTCAATAATGCGCTTTGGTTTTACAACTTTATTATACACATAGACATATATTAACATGATTACTCATTTATACATTTACATATATATATATTCTATATATAAGCAATAATACGCATCGATAAATATTTGACTAAAATACTTCATAATATGCACAATACAATCAATTACAATCAACCCACGCTACATGTTAAATACATTCATTTGTAAACAAGAATATTATGTATGTGTAGACTACAAACTATGTAAAAGCTTTCAGAAGCCTCCTGCACAGATTTTAAATACAGTTGATTAGGTACTGGTTTCTAATAGGTACACGTTGTCTCGCGCTGCAGTATAATAATGTCAATAGTGCCTCGTATGGAGATATGTATGTCTACAACTAGTTTAAAGAGAGCGGCGAAATTCTTTACATATCCGTTGGGAGTATATCCGGTATTAAATATTGACATAGGTCTACCTCATTGCTGACAAACTTCACCTTTTTGGCGGTGTTATCGTCGAGCAGCATGCGAATGGCTGGCCAAATGGTGGAGAAAATGCCAGGCGCATTTATAATTAGGCATACGCCCAATCGCTCCGGATAATGTTTGCCGAGCAGCCAGATAAGATTCTGCACCAGCTGATAGTCCATGCACGAGGTGCTAAACTCAGCCAGATCAAAGACAATGCACAGACGATCTGTGACCTCCTCAAAACACTTTTTGCATGCCTCCTCCAGATTGTAGACAATGAACCGCGTCAGCTCATCAATATCGCGCGCCGAAGAACTGTGATTCTTGGCCGGAATGTAGATGACAGGGCGACCAACGCAGTCGCGATGCCGCAACAGACGCGCCTTGTTCTCCAAGTGGCTGCGCTCCATTTCATTGAGCTTGGCCACGCCATACGACTCACGCCACTTGTTCGTCTTTAATATGGCCTATATGAGTGGGTGGCAATATTAATAAGTATAAATAGTCAATGTCAAGATGTGGGCGCATAAACGGAAGCGACTCACTTGGAATGCGTCATCTGTGGTCTTGAAGGCCCTTAGATAACGCCGCAACGAGAACTCATTGTGATATTGAGTTGGGTCTGCGTCAGCAATAAGTTTCATGCGCTCTTTCAGGTCCTTCAGGTCCTGCTCGTTAATTGGCGCCAGCTCTTCGGCTGACATATTGTTACTCTTATTATACTAACGGTGGCTTTGGTCGGAAACGGATTCTCGTTCTTGGTAAATGTCAACGGATAAGGAATCCCTATTCTTTGCGAATGCACAACAATCCAGCGTTTTATCTGCTGCGCTATCTAATTTTCTTCCACACAAACTATTTTTTCACAAACTTTTTCTACTGCGCTTCAATTAAGCTATCGATAATAAATCATTTAGCAGGGTTGCTTTTGCTTGACAAATAACAGCTGTTACTTTTCAAATGCAAATAAACAGCTTACTTAACGTTTAGCCTATTGACACCCGATTTAGATCCGCACTTTATTTTTATGGTTCGCGTAATAACCAATAAAATCGATACGAGGGCAAGCTACAAAGTTATTGACCTAGACTAGACAAAGCCTTAGCAACCAGAGCATGTATATATATATTCTTAATTGAAGGACTCCCGCGCTAAGAGATTATCTTGATAAATAAAAAAACTGGTCTTATCTTGTCAACGTTGATGATATTTCAGCCTGACCTCGTAATAGTTTTTTTTCTCTTATATATAGACATATATATATATATATTTTGTTAATAACTGCAATAATTTTGATAAATGTTAACAAGAAAATTACAAAATCTGTTGCAGCATTTATATAATAATAACACAATATTGCATGCATCTGCCGACAGGGCCAAAACCTAACAACAGAATATCCTACACCTACATATACAAATGCAGAGATTCTCATTAGTGATTAATTATTGCTCCAATGTACGCTCGTTGCTTGAGATTCTATGCGTTTCCTTGGCCAATCCTCATTTTGGTACCATGACGCGCGAAATGCCTGGCAGTATTTCCGCCTGGAGTGGACCAAACTCAATCTGCTCGCCATCCACTGTGATAATGCCGTGGTTGTCATGCGGCTCCAAACGGAACGCACGCACCTGCAGCACCTTTACATATTCATTGTTCTTCTCGGGCAGGTGAGTGCCGGTGCTCATGTTATATAAAAAGCTGAGCAGATGCGGGCGACTAATGCCGCCGCGTATTAAAACCAAAAATATTTTGCCATCGTTCAGTTGCGCTTTGGGTGCAAAGTGGCAATCCACGCCGAGATGCGTCTGATAAACGGCATGCATCATGATAAATTCTCCCTCCTCGACCAGCCAGCCGGCGGCTTCGGGCAATGATTCGTTCAGCGACGGTAGGATGCTACTTGGGCCGTAGTTATGCTGGTTCTGCTCCAATCCAGTCGCAGCTGCAGCCGACAGATCTGCAAATTCGCTCTCATCGGCCAAACTGTGATAGACACTCTCTGATATGGAATAATAGCAGCTGCGACGCGATCCGCCTGATAGCCAACTGTCGCAGCGCGAGCGAAACGACTGATTAATGGACGTTTCCAGTGAGATGACGTCCTCGAACTCTTGTGGCAAATACTCCGAAGAACGGTGACAGCTGGCAGTGGACAGCTTATCGATATGCACATTGCAGCTGCGACTGGACTGCATCTTTCGCAACTGTTCCGACTGCGGCAACAGCATAGACTGTGGCTCCTGCGTCTCATCCGCCAATAGATAACTGATTTTCCCATTGTAAGTTCGCAAATTGGCCAGGCGGTACAGCGTCCAAATGGTGAAGCGTTGATAGCCAAACATCCGTATGCACTCGCTCTCAATATCCACGTCCGAGATGAGGCCCCAGCCAATTGAGAGGAACGAAAACATAACACGATTCTGTAGCTCTACACGCACCGCATCCATGGGCGAGCTGCGACCGCTGATGGCGGTAAGAGCAGCACCCAGCACAGGATTGCTGAAATATGGTTCACTGCAAACATGGACGAATCAGTAATTGAATCTATGTATGCATATGACACGCCGTCAAGAAGCAACTCACTTATAGCCGTGCGCTATGGACCGTGCCAGCCCATTGCCAGAGCCACAGGGAATAATGGCCAATGCAATGTTGTCCAGGACTTGGGCCCAATCGGCGCGGCGCAGCAGTCCGTTGACTATCTCGTGAAAAAGTCCGTCTCCGCCAACGGCTATTATAGTGCACCAGTCGTCCAGGCGACTAGTGCTTATAAATTCAATTGCGTAGTTGGAATGCTTCGTTGCATACAGATCATAGGGTACCTCGGCTTCGTTGAGCACGGGTGCGACATGCATGTTGAACACCTCGCGTGCATTTCCCGAGCCGGATTTGGGATTGAGCAGCACCAGGACGCGGCGACGACGAGCCTCACCGATGCGCTCCACAAATATGTCCTCCAGTGTTTGATGCAGCTGCCAGCGCAGAGCGCGATACCAGCGATCCGCCTCACGCATGTTATCCTCAAACGTGTCGAAGGAACGAAAGCGCAGAGTCAGCACAGTTCTCTCCCTGTGCAGGCTGCTACGCAAGCTTTTCTTTTTGAGCACGTAAGCAAACAAATACAAATAGGCACTGCCATCGCCCACGTCGCAACCATTCTCCTCCTTGCTGGCGGGACTGCATTTGCTGGGCGTGCCGCCCTTGCGGCTGGCCGCACCTGCTGGAGTACCAGGATTGACGCAGGCACATCTGCCCAGATTGCGTGGCGACTTCTTCATGCGCATGCAGCGTGCTCCAACGATATCACATATCTTAACCGTCTGCTCCTTGATGATGACTCCGCTGGGCGACTCGCGTTGCAGGGTGAATCCTGTGGCGTCCAGGCGTACTCGAAATACGTGGCTTCCTTTACGCTGACTGGTGTAGAAGGTGTCCGATACATTGTGAAGGTCGTCGCCTGCCTTGTTGGGTGTGGAGATAGCGGAGCTCGTACTCCTCTCCTGAGATTTGCTCATGTTGGGCAGAGATTCTCTTTTAGCAGCATTTTTTATTTACTTAATGTATATAAAATGCTGGGGCACTCCTGAATCGCTAAGAGTGGAATTTTTTTTGGAATTGTTATCGATAATATCATTCTTTTAAAAGGAACTATCGCATCTCATTGTAAGAAACTTGCTTTAGGTAAAAGTATTAGCATGTTGTAAATTCTATAAGTAGTTTTTATATAAAAGAAACGCCGTTTGATATTTATTTTCTTACAAAAAGTGTAGGAATAGGTTTTGATGAAAAAATAAAATTCTCCTCACATCGAAAGTTACAAGATTAATTTGAAATCGCTCGTTTCTATATTTGAACAATCGACTTGCCACCACATACAGATATTACAGTGGACAGACGTCCAAATTGGTGTTGGAAAAGACTTTTCAGCCTTGTGCCTATCGATTTAAATGGCAATCGGACTTAACTATGCCTTTTTTGTCGCTTGTCTACACTGAGCTCTAGCATGCGGTAGTGAAGTGAATTAATTACACACTTTTCGGGTTTTCTAAACAAAATTCGAGGTAGTGCAGTGTGCTTTATGTAATTTGAAGCAATTAGTTTTTGCTACACAATACACACCCACACACCAATAATGACTAACAGCCTAGAGTTGGAGTGCTCAGTACTGAAGGTAGCGCGTCATAAAATCGAACGCGTTGGTTGCGCATATTTTAACGCACGCCGCCAAATTGGCGATTCGAGCGGCGTCGAGCGCAGCGATTCCGATGAGAAATTGGCGGGCGCTGGCGAGGATGTCGACATAAGCTACCTCAAATCACTTGATCCCAAGGAATGGAAGGATCAGGATCACTACAGTGTTCTCGGCCTTGGCAAATTGAGGTGCGTTTCTATTTAGCTTACTGTGTGTGTTGTGCGCGCGTGTGCGTGCCTTGTGTGTGTGTGTGCGCCTGTATGCGTGTGTATTTGTGCGAGTGCACGTGTATTAACTGCGCGTTTTTTACACACAGATACGAAGCCAGCGATGATGATATTCGGCGGGCCTACAGACGGATGGTGCTGCTGCATCATCCAGACAAGCGGAAAGCCAAAGGCGAGGAGGTTATTACCGACGACGACTACTTCACATGCATAACAAAGGCCTACGAAATACTCGGTAGGTAGTCGATATCGAAATGCCTTTAGATAGTTGTTTCTTTTTTTCGTTCAAGGTTGCAACATTGAGATATAGTATATTTTAGTCACTATTATTTGCAAATTTAAGCTCACTTTTTAGTTATTACTATTAATCAACGTGTTTTCGTGAAAGTTTTACTAGCTAACATATTAGATCCAAAATGAGAAGAGAGCGGATCAGCAGATCGAAAGATCTTAATTTTTTGTATCTCGATATATTGAAATTTGTCACGTTTCCTATCATATTGAGGCTTGTAGATAAAAACCCAAATATATGACGACTACAATTGTTAATTTATAGTCTGCAGACACTTTAAAGTTCCATTATAAAAACTTGAAGATATGTGCAATGCATTGATGGAGAGATCTTCGAGTCTATGAATTATATAGATGCTATAACAGTATGAACAGATTAACCATGCCCATTCAGTCTTAAAGATATATTAATGAATCACAAATCAGGTTTTTACTAGCTAGGGTATTTCAGCTTCGGATAACTATTGTTGTTAGTTCATGTTACGTCAGAATTCTCTATTTGCTTGTTAATATCTTAAAACAATTCTTACGTCAGCTTCAGCCTTTACACTTAATCGAATTCGATTAAATTCTTATTCTAAGATCACAGCAGCGAAAATATATTGAACTTAATTTGCTGTCAATACGTTTAATATCCAAATTTATAAATATCTATTGCAGGCACTTCAAAGACGCGCCGTAGCTACGACTCAGTAGATCCCGAGTTTGACGACGCTTTTCCCACACAGACGGATATTGAGAGTAACTATTTTGACTCGTTTAATAAGTATTTTAATTTGAATGCGCGCTGGAGCGAAAAGTCAAACGTGCCGCCATTTGGCGAGGTGGACGCCAAACGTGAGGAGGTGGAACGGTTTTACAATTTCTGGTACGATTTCAAGTCATGGCGCGAGTTCAGCTACCTGGACGAGGAGGACAAGGAGAAGGGTCAGGATCGCGATGAGCGTCGTTGGATCGAGAAGGAGAACAAAGCGGCGCGCATCAAGCGTAAAAAGGAAGAAATGACCCGAATTCGTGCCCTGGTCGATTTAGCCTACAACAATGACAAACGCATCCAAAGGTTCAAGCAGGAGGAGAAGGATCGCAAGGCAGCAGCCAAGCGCGCCAAAATGGATGCTGCTCAGGCCCAAAAGGCCGAACAGGAGCGAGCTGTGCGCGAAGCGGCGCTGGCCAAAGAGAAGGCTGACAAGGCCGAGCAGAAACGCATCGAGCAGATACGCATTGAGCGCGAGCAGCAGAAGAAGGTGCTGAAAAAGGAGCGCAAAACGTTGCGCGACAAGGTAAAGGATTGCAAGTACTATGCCAAAAACGACAAGGATCAACTGAAGCACATGGAGGGTACCGAAAAGATATGCGAAACATTCAGTTTGTCCGAGCTGCAAGCTCTCAATAAGGCTATGGAAACGAAAGGCAGAGAGTCCTTTGTTGCTGCGCTGCATACCGCCGAGCAAAAGATCGCCGCTGAGCTGGAGGAGCTCAACATGGCGCAGCAAAAGAAACAGGCGAACAACACACCCAAACAGGGTGTTAAGGAGGTGAAAAAAGGTGAACTCTGGAGCAATGAGAATGTGCAGCTGCTGATCAAGGCGGTAAATCTGTTTCCCGCTGGCACCGCACAGCGCTGGGATGTCATTGCCACGTTTATCAATCAGCATTGTGGTGCAGGTTCGGGTCAGGTGACCGCTCGCGATGTGCTCAACAAGGCAAAGGCACTGCAGAACAGTGACCACTCCAAGAGCACGCTTAAGACGCAGGCCAATGAGGCGGCCTTCCAGAGTTTCGAGAAATCAAAGAAGGAGGTCCAGACAACAAACGACATCACGCTGGGCGAATCCCCGGCGGAGAGTAAGGAAAATGTAAAACAGAATGGTGGCGATCATATGAGCAATCTGCAGCAGCAGCAGCAGCAGCAGCAGCAGCCGGAGCCCAAGCAAAATGGCAATGCTATGACGGCTCCAGCTGCTACACCCGCACCGACCACCAATGGCGTCGCATCAAAGACTTGGACAAAGGAGGAGCAGGCTTTGCTGGAGCAGGCAATTAAAACGTATCCGACAACAACGCCCGATCGCTGGGACTGCATTGCTGCCTGTATACCGAATCGCAGTAAAAAGGATTGCTTGCGTCGCGTCAAGGAGCTCGTCGAGCTGGTCAACTCCAAGAAGGAAGCGCAGGCGGCTGTCAAATGAGTGGCACCACAACAACTGCTAATCTTCCCCTCCTCTGCCCTAGCTGCTGTGTCCAATATACATTTTATTTAAATAAATAAACCTTAAAAAGTTTGAACGTTTAGCGAAAAGTTACATTCAACCGCTTTCTTGCATTTCAAAACCGACCAAACTATCGATATTTCGTAAATTGATATGACAGCAATCGATATTTCTGCTCAAGTTCTGGTTATCCACTTCCACTTAAACTTACAAAAATTTAGTTTATACTTTATGCTGCATGTCTCCACAGAAATGTCTTAATAAAGAATAATGTACTTTATTGACAAACTCATTTCATGTGGAAAAGCTAAAGCTATCGACAGTGAAAAAGCCAAATCTATCGATAGTGACAGAAAAACTAAACTATTAATACTAACGATAGACCGACCAATCGATATCCGCCGTATATTTTTCTGCCGTAGATGCTGCGTCCTGGAAACCTCAAGTCTATCCACGCAAACGTCCAGTTTTATGTCTGCTCTGCAACGCGTCGTCCGCCACTTAGTTTTAGATCAAATGCCTGCGGATTAGCCAGCGGATCCAGGTCGGCAAATAGTTCCAACCAAGGATTAGAGCTGGAGCTGCTGCTGCTGCTCTGCTGGCTCTGTTTGTTGTTCGCTTTGGGCGGAGCCGCAGCAACGGGCGAGATGGTGCTCGGCGTGGGGGCCTGCTGCTGTGTAAACATGCGCGCCCAGAATTTACTATTGCTGCTGGTGTCCAACAATGGGGTCTCAAGAAGCGGCGCCTCAATAAGCGGACTTTCCTCCAGCTGCTTGGACAGCTCAATGAGCAACGTTTCGTTGTCACCGCAGGCATTAGGCGGCGCGGGCGTGTCTTCTGCGGGCGGCTGCGACTCGGACTTTGGCTTGTCTTGGTATTCTTCCTGCAAACAAAAAGACAAATAGTTAAGTTTGCATTAAGTCTTATTATTATAGTCTAGCAAAATACCGCAAAGAATAAAGATTGATCTTTGTCGACTGCCTCGATCGGCACTGTATCCGGGGCATCGGCGCCCTCGTTTTGGGACAGTTCCTTGAGCACACAAAAGTCGTATTTGGGCTTCACGACCAGCGCATTGGAAATGGTCTGAAAGGTGGAGGCAGCTTTTTGGGCAAAGTTCTTCAGCTCAGCCAAATAGGCGACCAGGGCATGGGAATACATATTACAGCGTGCAGCGGCCAGCAGATCAATCTGTGTGGAATGGGCGTAATTCAGTAGGAAAACTATGTTAGCTATTCGGGAAATTAGGGGCACCTTTTGTATGGAGTCCATGGAGTAGCCGTCAAAGTTATGCTTGGCGGCGCGCACATGAGCCTGAGCGGTGCGAAATTTGTCTAGACCCTTGCCAGTATCGGGGTCCATGTCCTGACTGGCCGTACTCTTCATCCAGGACAACGCAGCGCGGTATTCGGTGCGCTCCTTTTCCATGGTCTGTAGAGTTAGCTCCGTGTCCTTGACAGCGCGACAGCGATACACGTCCACCTCGTGCTGCAGGCGCAATAACGGAACACGGACGCACATTCGCTGCTGTCCTGCAAAGGACATGGCCTTGCCCGTGTTCGTGATGCTGCCGCCCGTCGTTTTGCTGCGTTTACCCGCCTCCTTGAGAAAACGCCCGAATACGCACTCCTCCTGCGACAATATGCACAGGCGCTCCTGATATTGGTCAATGATTTTGCATAGTTCCGTGCTGGTGTCGCTAATCGATTTGAACACCTCGATTTTGGCGTCCAGCTCAGCGTCCGAGGATATTATGTGCTTGTCCTCTTTGCTGCCCAGCTTGCGCTGGACGACCTTCTTGGTTATCCAGTATTGGTGCTGTACCTCCGACTTTAACATATTTTAGTTACAATTTCACTGGGAGCTGAAAAAATTTCTGCTACGAAAGATAAAGCACACACCAAAATGAACGTTATGCGCCGACGCAAAATCCAAGTATATGACGTTGCCACACTGTTAAATAACAGTCAACTTTTAATTTGACAGGGCTAGTCCACGAGCAACAGAAGGTATACAAGATAACGCTGATTCGGGTAATATTTTAGCTGGTGGAAAAGTTATCGCTTTATAAATAGTTTTTGTTTTTGGTTTGTTTTCTATTTTGTTGTTTTATAAATATCATTGAGAAATAATTTCAGTTGTCTGTAAATTATAAGTCTGGCAAGCCAATGATTAAACACTAAAAAATACCATTTAACGTAAGCACCTTAACATTGCCATTATGAGTTTAACATTGGAGTTTACAGATGTATCTACTGCATTTTATAACTGTAACCGTCTCTTTCAAAGAGCACACGACGTGCGCTCGCTTTGCATTTTGTTGTTGCTTTCGTTTGGCGCTGCATTTGACCGCGCGCCGCATACATTTTGCATAGAACACGCTGCGCTTCGTACGGCATCTGTCTTCACATTATTTTAAAGTCCCAATATTTGTGCAAGTGTTTTTTTGATACGTTCGCGTCGCGCGCGCTTTCATGTTTGTGCCGTGTGTGCGTGTGAGACAGGGCTAAAGTTCGACTATGACTGCAATTGCAATTGAAAGCGACACATATATACGGCCATATCGCTAATTCGCTGGACAGGTAAGCTAAAGTTGCAACGAGTTACAGTTACTTTGTTGTCGGGATGCTATTGCACAGGCACACGCACACACACACACGCACGCAGTAGAAGCTGAAGAAGAAAGTGAACAAGTGTGTGCGAATGTTTCTGCTTCTTGTGCAGCAGCAGCGGCATCAGGGGCTACCTGACCAAAACGGGTTGGGAGTTGGAGCTTTGCCACCTGCAGAAATGACAGCGTCTGGCAACTTCACTGACTGCGTGGGTGTGCGTGTTTGTGTGTGTGAGCCCTGCTTAAATTGATTGTTCATTTTGTTATGAAGATTATGTCTATCCGCCTGTTAGCACCAACAGTGCGTGACCCGCGCCTTGGAACACTTGAGTTTTTAAACTGATTGCATTAACAATTAGATGCGGCTCTGCGCGCACACACCAAAAACCACAACAACAGCAGCAACAACAAAAGAAACAATCAGAATTGGAATTAAAACGAAAAGGTCATCCACGGGCACTTGCCGGCCTCAGGTCTCAGTTAAAGCTTAATGGGCACAGCGCGAGGCTTTTTACATGCCAAAAAAAAAAAAAACAAAACAAATAAAATAAGAAAAAAATCTCAGGCCGCCGCTCGTTACAGACCCGTTATTGCTGCTGTTGTTGTTGTTGTTGGGTTTTCCAGCTTCAAAGCCGCGCTCCGCCTTGGGCCGGCGGCGCTGCGCAGTCGCATTTAACAATTGTTATTGAAACGAGCAACAACAACTACAAAGATTTCACTGCGCCAACTGCACTTGACGCTGACACACTTGTAGCTGTTGTTGTTGTTGCTGTTGTCAACGCCTGGTCACATTAATCAAAAGCGCTTCGATTGCACTCGATTGTCGAGCAGCACGTTATCGATATCAAAGCTTCACTCTGATCTCTTGCTCTCCCTATCGCACGCGTTGTGTATATATGCATAAAATCTCATGCATGACGTTGCCAGCTACAAAGAGAACGACAACAACAACAACAACAACAGCAAACCGAATGCTTTTTGCATTTTTCTCACAGGCCGCAAAAAGACGTATTACAAAAAAATGAGAAAATTTTTACAAATATCTGCGCATACATAATTTTTGCTATCTTTGTTGTTGTTGTTGGTTGTATCAAGTTACTTTTGGTTGTTGCTCTGCTCTCATTTGCATGCAGAGTTGTGCATATTTGCCGTTGTTATTGTTTTTGTTGTCGTCGTCGTTTTTCCACTGATTATTTTTTGTGTCGCCGCACGGCGTTGCTGCAACTAAATTGGCCTTAATTGGCTGCCTTTTTGCTGCCAATTTTTGTTGCCGCTGTTATCGGTCGTTGCCGGCCGGCCACTTGTGGCATGCAGCAATTTTTTTTCTTTCGATTTCTTGTAGTTTTTTGTTTTTACTTTTATTTGTTGCGCTTATTTGATTTAATTAGGCTGCAGCAGTTTTCATTATTGTTTGCAAATTGTGGGAAAAATCAGTGAGCCAAAAAACGCATTTCGAGAATTTATAGCGCCTGGCTGGCTGGTTGACTGCATTTTATAGCCGGTTGCATAATTCAGTTTCAGTCGCAGCCGAAACTGAGCGCAAAAACAAGCCAATAAATCAAAAAGCCATTCTCAAGCCAACGGCAACAACGGCTGCTGCAAGTGCTGCGGCCACAACCAGCTGGGCTCGACTGTAAGATACCCTATGCCCGGCAGAAACAATTCTAATTCCTGTTGCTTAGCTAAAAGCCAAATGCAGCGCATGACCTTTTGAGTTTAAGATCAGAGCGCAGAGACCCATTCATGTGCTTTACAGGGTATCACAGCAGCACCAGCATTTACAATAAGCGGCCCGTATTCAGAGCATGTCAATGCAGCTATCTCATACGAGCACTCCATATGTACTTATGTGGGCTATGGTAATGTTAGCCAGCCCACCCCTGCGGCCACCTGCAGCCCCCTACCCCCTGCACCCACACACACACACACGCTCTCAGAAATGACTACAACATTTACCGTTTGGCAAGGTCTGTCAGGCCAGACCAGCTGGGTCTCCGGCTCGGATTCTTGCCCACCCATTGCACAATCTCAATCTGTGCGCCGCCTGTGTGAGTGTGTGTGTGTGTGTGTGTGCTCTGTCAATAGGCCAGTGCCTAGTTTATTGAGTCGTCTGGGAGGGTTTGTTAACTGTCATGCCCACGTGACGAGGCCAAGCAGCCAGGCAGGCAAACAGCCAAGCAGCCAAGCGGCCAAGTGGCCAAGTGTCCAAGTGGCAATTCATATATATATTTTTAAACTATTTTTTTTTTTTATTTGTTGGGTTTTATTTTTGCATTGTCTCCGTCTCATGTCGCCAAGTGTCGCTGATTAAATTTCAATTTGAGTTGCTGCCCCAAGTGGCAGCCGGAGCGGAAGCGGCAGCTGTATATCAATGCTTCGTAATGAGCTGGGCAACTGATTTGACCCAATTGGCTGCCCACCTCTCGAAACACACACACACACTCGCAGAAACTCGTACA